CTGCCCTGCTGGCCGCCCGCCTGCCTGCACCTCCAGCCTGGACTCCCCACGGGCTCTGGGGCGCCCCTAGCCCGCCCTGTCCCCAGGGCCGGGCCAGAGCGGCGGCTGCGCCCGTACAAGTCCCATCAGGTCTGCTCACACTTCACACACACACACACACATACCCCGCCCCTCCACTCTCTCACTCACACTTTCTGCTCACACCCCGCCCCCTTCGCGCCCCAGACCCGGGCGGCGCCCCCCGCAACCTTAAAAAAAAAAAAAAAAAGGCTTATACTTAAAAAAGTCTTTTGGCGCCATATTAATGACGTACTTAAAATTTGCCATTTCTCCCTGCGTCAAAAAGACGTTTCTTTGCAAATAACAGCCTGAAGGCGACACTCGCGGAGGGAAACGAGGTTTGCACTAAGCAACCCGCCTCCCCAGGCTCTGGCGCTGGAAGACCCTTGCCCTAGGCCCTGCTCCTGAATCGCTGGTTTAAAAATGCGAATCGAATAAATCGCGTGGCGTTTTACAGCGCCAGAAGTGAGCAGAAAGTGCTGGCAGGACCGTAGGGGAGGGGCGCGCGAGAGTCAGGGGGAGGGGGCGCGGCCCTCCTCCCCCACCCACAGCAGATGGAACGTAATATCCCGGGCGGGGGAAACTTGAAATTGTGGGCGACCTGAAGAAAGGAAGGGCGGTCCGTAGAGAGGGTCCCTTTCGGGTTCGTCGCCCCCTCCCCCCGCCCGGGTGCCTCTTGGCACCTAGCTCTGCCCCGCATTTCCGGGGGCTTGGGAACGCAGTGATGGGTGGGTGGCTGGCTGCACGTTTTGGCCCCAGTTGGAGTTTGCCCCGGGGTATCCCCTTCCCCTTGCTTGCCCTTCCCACTCTCCCTAAAGGGTTAAAAACCGAGGGGCAACTTCCAAGGGCTGGTACTTGGCGAGGAAGCGGGGCGCCCCTCTCCCCACCCTTCGCCTCCTCGCCCCTCCTCCTCCGGCTCCACTTCCCGACTTGACCTTGTGGTGCACAAACAGTGCGCTCGGATCCTCGCAGTTTCTGGAAGAAGAGCTTGCGCTCGCCAGGCAGGCGGACTGTGGGGCGGCTCGCGGGCGGTGGCGGGGCCTTGGGTCCGTTCCCGGAGCCGCGGGCCACACCCACTCAACTCGTTGCGCCCGCCGCGCTCACCTTCTCTCGAGGAAGGAGTAGGGCTGGTCTCCTGGATGGGGAGGAGTGAGGGGCAAGCTGCTGCTTTCTCCGGATGCTCCCAGCTGGGGAGGGGGGTGGTCTAGTCTCAGGCAGGATTTGGGGGGCGGGGGGAGGGGACCTGGTAGCCTGGCCCAATATCCCCAAATCACCGTTGCCAACTTTTTCTTCCCCCTCCCTTTCGGTTTCCTCTCAAAAATGATAGAATAATTTTTTAAGCTCACCTTTGGCTTTGGAGGCACATGGGTGAGTTGTGAACATAGATAGGAACCGCCTTCCCTCTCCAAGACTGAAGGTTGTTTGTTCTTTCTTTTCTTTCCACCCAGTTCCGTGGAAAGATAAATATTCAATTTACATAAGATGACATTTATGTGACAATTAAGATTCCCCAATGGAATGTTGTGAACACATTTACTTATAGGAGAAATAAATTAATAATAAACAAACAAATAATAACAGCACAAATCTTCCGACAGGGTGGCTTGTCTATATAACAAAGAGGGAGATGATGGATGCTGAAATAAGCACTTTTTGCAACAAGAAAAAAGTAGCTCAAAAGGGAATCAGTGCAACATTTCTCTTCCCTGGCCTTCATTCACAAAGTCTGGGGAGGCTTGTCTAGCAAGATCGAGTGGCTGGGTATCACCTACCAGTGAGACCTGGTTCTAGCTCTCAGTGGTCAGTTGGTAGGATTTGCCCAAGCCTAAGCTTGGTGCCTGGAGACAGATGTGGCAGTCTGTGAGCATGCAACAAAATGGTTAAATATCTGGCCCTGCAATTCAGAAGCTCCTTGATGTGGGCAAGTGAATTCATCTCTCTGGTTCTTTTTCTCCTGTAGAATGGGGTGATGGCACGGAACCTGAGGCCATGTCTGTACATACACATACACATATGTATACATATACATGTTATGTGTATAAAGCAGGGTCTGGCTCATAGTGTAGCTCACATTAGCACTTTCACTGGTGCTTATATTTTGGAAGGGTGAATGTGCTCTCTGAAAGCTCTGAACACTGAAAAACTTGGAGGTGGAGTGATTTCTGTCTTACCCTCTATGAGGAGATATACATGATCTCCCAGTGTGGGCAAAAAGGAAAGCCAGAAGAAAAATCTGTGGCAATTGGTGGGCTTCATAGTCAAGATACAAACAGCAGTCTAGACACACATCTTAGGTAGGAGTGAAGGCACCAATTACAGTGGCACACAGTCCAAGGGGACTGCTCTGATTAGGTCTAGTTGCAGAAGGTTTACATGCAAGAGAGGACTGGACAGGCTCCCCGTAGCCATCAGGATCCCATGAACCTTGGCAAGCAGTTAAAAATGACCTAGAGAGATGGAAGAGGGAGGGGATGACCATTTATAGAGCGCCTGCTCTGTGCTGTGCACTATGCAGGGCCATCCCATTTCATCTCCACAAAAACCCATCTTACCTATTCAAAAAGGTTTAGTAACTTACCAACAGCTACACAGCTAGCAAGTGGTTGCAGAATTGGCACCTAGTCCAGCTGACCTTGAAGTCGATGTGTTTTCTATTTTACGACATTGCCAGAAATAAAAAGTATTAGTATTATTGGTTTGATTGAGGATAGGAGCCTGACTGCTATATCGGCAAGGAAGAATTTTATAAGAGGTGATTCCCTGAGTTCGGGTATAATCCAGGTTCCCTAAAGAGTCCTTGGAAGATACTTCTTGTTTAGTATTGGAAGCTCTCTCAGAGTCCTTGAGTTCCCCACAGCTCTCTGCTACTGTTTAAGGTCACCCTTGGAAATGTTAACAGAATGATAGCCATAAAGCTAATTATAACTCTTTAATGTTTATTAAAAGTCTCACAAATCATTAACTTCTTACAGAAAGAAAATGAGAAGAAACAGAATTCTTGGAGCTAAAATCATTCATTTTTTTCAACAAATATTTATTGAGTGCCAGGCACCATTCTTCTAGATGCTAGGGACACAGTACAGACATGACAGACAAAAATGCCTACTCTCATGGAACTCACTTTCTATACACAATTTTTTAAAATAAAAAATATTATATTTGAAGGTGAATAAGTGGTATGGAAAAAAATTAAATGAGAAAAGAGTAAGAGAATGTGAGAATGCAATTTAAACAGAGTCCTCAGGGAAGACCTCACTGAGAAAGAAGGCAGCTTTGAGTAAAAGGAGGTGAAGGAGTGAGCTTTGAGGGTTTATGGAGGAAGAGCATTTTAAACCTTGGGTTCTTAACCCAGAGTCCACAGACACCCCCTTCCAGAGGTCTGTGGATAGAATTCAAGGGTCTTGACCTTAGAAGGGAAAAATTTATATTTGTATTTTCACTAATTAAAATTCAGCATGTTCTTCAATTATGAATGCAGACAATAAATCAGTGATATTAGCAGCACCCGTGACCTTGTTGCTAGTAAAAATCAGATCTTTTCATATCACATTATATATAGTTATTGCAAATATCTTAAAGTATCATACTCATCACTACTTCAAAATTATGCTGCTAGTTCTTATATTTAATGAATAAGAAATATATGTTACTATATTACGCATTTAAAAATATTTTGAGAGTTGTATTTCAATATAATTGGTTTTCTTTATAATTTATGTAACTTATTTTATGGATTTAAAGATATTACACTCTGGAGTCCACAGGCACCATAGTTTGCCAAAGGGGTCCATGGCACAGAATAAAACGTTAAGAACCACTGGAGACCAGCAAGTGTAAATGTGTTTAGTATGTACATGTGCAAAGAAAAGATGGGGCAGGGGTCTCCAGTCCCTAATCCCCGGGGCCAAGGATAGGAACGGGCCGCACAGCAGGAGGTGAGCAGTGGGCAAGCAAGCAAAGCTTCATCTGTATTTGCAGCCACTCCCTAGTGCTAGCATCACCACCTCAGCTTCACCTCAGATCATCAGGCATTAGACTCTCATAGGAGCACGGGTCCCTGGTGTCAAAAAGGTTGGAGACCACTGAGGTAGGGCATTGTTAGAAATTTGGCTTTTGCTAGGAGTAATATGGAGGGCTTGGAGCAGAAGAGTGACATAATCTGACACTGGATTTTATAGGTTATTCTGCTGCTAGATGGAGGACAAACTGAAGCGGGGAAGGCTGAAGCAGGAACATCAGTTAAGAAGTCACTGAAATAAACCAAGTAAGAGAACTTTAACTTGGACTAGAGTGGTAGCAGTGGAAATGGTCGAATTCTGTATATATTTTGAAGCTAGTTCTGACAAATTGTTGATGGGGTGTGAGAAAACAAGAAGTCAAGAATGAGGACAAGAGTTTTGCTGTGAGCCAATGTCACTAACCGATATGGGGGAAACTGGAAGAGTAGGTTTTGGGGAAGGTTAAGGAGCTCAGTGTTGGACATGTTAAGCACTTTTAACAAGCACCTGATCATGCTTAATGTCCTTGGCCGTGAGCCACACTTTGTAAAACACTGAGAGCTTATCCACATGGTACTGGCCTGGCACTCAATAATTGCTCATTTGACAATAGCTGTTTTTCCAGGAGTCCTTACTGGGACCAAAAAGTCTAATAACTTGCACTTTATGTTCAGAAGCAGAGGTCCAGCATGCCCTATACACACTAAGTTGTATCATTCAAAGTTTGTTCATCGAATATTTAC